GCACGCTCCCCACTGGGGATGTGCCCGCAACCAAGGTCCATGCCCTTGACCGGAATCGAACCCGGGACCCTTCGGTCCGCAGGCCGACGCTCTATCCACTGAGCCACACCGGTCAGGGCTGCCCACCTTTTCTGATTGCAAGTGGGTAGCCCGGGGGCCTGGGGCTTGACACGATGGCTTCCCAAGGGCAGAGGATCCCACAGGCGGGGAAACCGAGGCACGGAGGGCCCGCTCGTCCCCCAGGTCACCAGGTGGCCGCGGCCAGTACGTGGCTCAGGCCTGTCCACCTCCCCAAACCTACGTTCTACACCAGCGGTCGGCAAACCGCGGCTCGAGAGCCACATGCGGCTCTTGGGCCCCTTGAGTGTGGCTCTTCCACAAAATACCGGCTCTTCCACAAAATACCGACTTCTGCGCATTGGCCACGAAGTTTCAATCGCACTGTACATGCGCACCCGCACGTGGTATTTTGTGGAAGAGCCACACTCAAGGGGCCCAAGAGCCGCATGTGGCTCGCGAGCTGTGGTTTGCTGACCACAGTTCTACACCAAGCGTGTCACACTCAGAGGCTAACACGGGCCAGATGAACAAGGTTTACATGGATGTGGCCGCAAAATGAACAAAAGCTTCCGTTTTCTTAGAAACGCAGGTTTATTTCGATGGAGACGTGCTGAATGCAAAGGGCTGAGATACACTAGTCATCGTTCACATAAAGAAATAGAACGTTTTAATAAAAACTAATATTTTTTCTTGAACATGGACTTACCAGACACTGAGTCACTGCACAAATGAATAAGCGTCACGCAGATAAACCCATTTTTCTCCTTCTCCGGAAGCGAGGTATTTCCTGTTGCGCACACCAAGCAGGTCAGTCCCAGACTAAGGACATGGCCACCGGCTGCTGGAACATTCGCTGCCGGTATCAGTGGGGAGAGACGGTTCGCCTAAGGGATGTGAATGCAACACGATGACAGTCATCCGTCATTAGCGAACGTTGTAGCTCGTTAGTAATAGCTAGAGCTCGATGCACGAAAATTCATGCAAGAGTAGGCCTTCCTTCCCCTGGCTGCCAGCACTGTCTTCCCTCTGGCACCCGGGATCCAGGCTTCCTTCCTCCTGCCGCCGGCAGGCACCCCGGGCCCAGCTTTGTCAGGAAGGACGTCCGGAATGACATCCGGAAGACGTCTAGCCTAATTAGCATATTACCCTTTTATTATTATAGATTATGTATAACAAGATAGTGTAAAAATTAAGTTATGGTACTTTTGTTAAAAAGTTCCTTACATACCGTTATATTGGCTGGGCTGCAAAAATATTCCTTGTGGGCCACATGCAGCCCGCGGGCCACGAGTTTGACACGCTTGCTGTCCACGTTCAATCTCGGCACCTGCCCCTGCTCCTGCCCACCCCCCTGGCCTGGTGCAAAGAGGGGGCTCAGTTAATTGCCCCCAGTTCTGTGGAGGGCCCCCCTGGCAGCTGGCTCTCCAGCTCGAGACGTTGGTTAGAGGACTCACGTCCCGGTCAGTGTGGCTGAGCCGGTTCCGGGCCCTGTCGCCTGGATGGCCCTACTGTGCGCCTGGGGCTGTTCTGCAGGGAGGCGGCTCGGTGAGACGGGGCCCTCTCCTCGCTGGGCCCCTCCCCTCCCCACGGGGTGTGTGTCCTTGTCCGTGGCCTCAGCTCCCCACCCGGTCCTCCCTGCAGGGCACAGGCAGGCCCACGC